TGACAGTCACTATCTATATGACCCTGGGCAAATCACTTAACTTCTGTCTGCCTCTGTTTCCTCAATTGTAAAATGGTAATGATAATAATAGCACCTTGTTTTTAATGAGGTTATGAGAATCAAATGAAATAATATTTGAAAAAATTGGTTAGCATATAGTAGGTGCTATGTAAACGCTTACTCCCCTTTCCTTACCCTCTAAGATCTCTCCCAGCTCTAGCCCACCCGCCTTTAATCTGCTCACTCTAAATTCAATGCTGTTTGTTTTTTAACCAGGTCAGGATGTGGTGTTGTTCCAGAGAAATAGAATGAAAGAGATGAATATTGCAATTTACAAAATGAGCTTCTCCAGGGTCAGTTATTTTTTGCCTTTGTAAGCCCAGGGTCTTGTGCAAAGCCCAGTTCAGGAAAGATGCTTAATGAATATGTGTGGAACTGAATCCAGTTAATTCTAAATGACTTCACTTCATCTCTTAAAGACCTGTTACATTTTTGCCTTACAAGTAAGAGGGTCTGGGCATGAGGCGGTAGAATGTTAGAGTGGGGAGGGTCTTTAGAATCTAGCTCCCTCGTTTTACAGATGAGGAGAATGAAGAGACTGCATTCATTCTACAGAGAGATGCTAAGTCACGCAAATGGCAGACACAAGTCTTCAGCTCCATGTCTCATCACACTGGTCAGGGAGAGGGCCACGGGATTCCCCTGGATCTAGTTGGTGCCTAGGTGTTCCTGTGCCCCCAGATAGCCTTCACTGGAACTTGCTGCAGTAAAGTTTGAAAGAAAGAGGCATCATGGCCATGGATCATTTTCCTGACTTGAGCTGTCCTCTCTAGAATATTTTCTGGGATTTCCCATGTTTGGGAAGAACCTTCTCAGGATTCAAGGTAGGGAAGGGGCAGAGGCTCTATTTTTACAGCCTGATGTTTGTTAAATACAAGCTGGTCTCTTTTCTGCCCTGCCTTGGGCTGACTCCCGCTGCTTCATCGGGGATGCTCCCCTGTTGTTCGACCTTCCTTCAGGATCTTGGACCAAACAGTGGAAAGAGCATAGGAGTTGAAGTCACAAAACCGGAATTCAAGTTCTGACTTTGACTTTGACTAGCTGTGTTAACCTTGGACCAACTGAAGCTTGTCCAGAAATGGGATGGGCTGCCTTGTGAGGAAATGAGCTCCTCATCACTTTAGGTGTTCAAAGGAAGACTGGAGTATCACTTCTCAAGAATGCTTAGGATCAGAGCTATAGAGCTGGAAGGGACCCCAGAGGCCTTCTAATCCATATCCCCCCTTTACAGATGAGGTAACTGAGGACCAAGGAGGTGTAGAGACCTGGGATCATAGGATCATAGACCTAGATAGAACTGAAAAGGACTTCTCAAGCCATCTGGTCCAACTCCTTTTTACAGATGAGGAAACTGAGGCACAGATGAGGAAACTGAGGCCCAGAGAGGGAAAGTCATTTGCCCAAGATCACAAAGGCAGTTCAAGTGTCTGAGCTAGGATCTCATCCAACTATCTGAGTTATTTCTCTTTCTATAAAATGGGGTTAATAATAATACCTGCTGTGCCAAACTCACAGGGCACCAGGAGGCTTAAATGGGACAATTTTTATAAAGTGTTTTACAAACTTTAAAGTGTTAGATAAATTTCACTTACTGTACAAATTTTCCTAGGGCTTTTCTGGGTCAATGATAAGTGATTCTGAGCTAGGGCAGAATTCACCCAAGAGAGTCAGTTTTTTGGGTTTGGTTTTTTTTTCCCTCTCTCCCTACAGGCAGGAGGCTCCTCATTCATTCATTCATTCATTCTTTCATTCATTCATTCTTTCATTCATTCATTCTTTCTTTCATTCAGTCTGTCAGTCGACAAGCATGCTTACTACTTAAATGGTAGGCACTGGGGATACAGGGGCAAACGTCTCAGGAAGAAGGTCCCCTGCCTTTGAGGAACATACATACGGGCCATGTGGGAGGGGTTACGATATGCTTAGAGAGAAGTAAATAGAGAATATAAACAAAATAAATGCAAATAATGTACATAATAAATCCAGGCTTCCAAATGGAAGCCTTTTCCCTAACAATGAGGGCAATCAGTCTGGTGGATCCTATGGACCCCCTCTCAGAAGAGTGATTTTAGATGCATAAAGTAAAAATATATGAATTACAAAGGAAGCCAGTGAGATCGAAATATAGTTTCAGAATATTAAAAAAAAACCCAAGTTTCCCAGACCCTAGATTAAGAGCCCCTAATCCAGGGGAATCCAAAACAGAATAGACTAGGTGGTGGGTCTCGAGCTGAACCTTTTTCTAGGAGGCAGAGGTGAGGGGTGGGCATCATCTGTACAGAGCCAAGGAGTGTCAGGTGTCGGGGTGGACACTGCGTAGGCAGAGAGTTGAGAGCATGAGGAATACCAATGGAATCCAATACAGTTAGGCTGAGGACAGGCTGTGACATCAAGCAGAGGAGTATGTATGGAGTGGATCCTCAAGTCTTCATGCAGCCATAAAGTTTAATTGAACTACAGTAAGATTTTGGGGACAATGTGGGGTTTTTTTCTCATCTTCCCCTCCCCTTTTCTTCTCTTGCTTTAGTCCCCTCTAAGGGAATAGGTTCCAGATTTATGTCTCATCATGGGGCTGTAAGAAAAGTTCTGAATTTGGGGTCCCAGAATCTGGGCTCAGATCCCCCTGCTTCCCTTACTAGTCTGTGTGAATCGTGGGATGGCTGCTTCGCCTCTGTGAGATGAGGGGATTGGACAAGATGACCTCTAAGTTCCCTTCTAGCTTGAAATCTATGGTCCTATGAACTAGGTTCTGGGTGTGCTTGTGTTTTTGACCCTTTCACTGGAGTTCCCAGGGTCCCCTGAACCATGGAGCAGCCCAGTTTGGGCCAGCGTGGGGAGGTGGGTGTAGACATTTGACAGTAGGGATGCAGCTGTCTGACCCCGACGTGGCATGTTTAGCCTGGCCGCTTGTTCCATGGGGGATTCAGAGGGTGGGGAGAGCTTGGGAATCAGATACCAAACTTTTCTTCCCAAACTCTCTCTGATGCCTTGTCACTTCCTGGGCCCAGTTGTACCTTATCCTCCTGTGGATGAAGCAGGTGGGCTGTGTCTCCTGGCCAGCCCTGACTTGCCCTCTATGGTAATTAATAATAATAATAATAATAATAATAATAATAGTAACAGTAATTAATACCTAGCATTCATATAGCTCTTTAAGGTTTGCAAAGTACTTTATATTCGTTGTTCCCACTGAGGCCTTCTAAGAATCTGGCAGAGTAAATTCTGCAGGGATTCTTCTCCCCCACAGCTAGCAAGGATCAAGAGGAAAGAGTCAAATTAGGTCTTCCCAGATTTCTGGGAGAAATTCACTTCTGGGTCTCTGGACTCGTTTTTTGACTCACGGTGGTCATGGCCAATGTGGATTTGGTGAACTGAAAGATGCTGGAGACCAGGATGCTGGAGGCTGGCCCAGCCAGGAGGAGAGTGATTCACCTGGAGGAGGGCCAGGCCAGCATCTTTCAGAGTTTCTCACCCTCATGAATTCATTGGCCCCAGGCCCCAGCCCTTTATTCCAGGAAAGAGGAAACTCAGGGGCTCCAAAGGGAGGGGTCAGTGCTGTAAGGCCCATCCCAACTCGGACTCCATTCTTTGTTCTAAGGCCCCTCTTCCCAGCTCTGACATCCTATATTCTAAGGTCACTCCCAGCCCTAATAGCCTTTGTTCTAAATGTCTTCTAGCCCTAATACTCTGGGTTCCAAGGCCTTTCCCAGCTCTGACATCCTGTTCTAAGGTCCCTTCTACCTCTGACATTCTGTGTTCCGAGGCCTTTCCCAGTTTTGACATTCTATGCTTTAAGGTCCCTTCCAACTCTGATGTCCTATGTTCTAAGGTCCCTTCTGACTCTGACATTCTGTGTTCTAAGGCCTTTCCCAGTTTTGACATTGTATGTTTTAAGGTCCCTTCTGACTCTGATATCCTATGTTCTAAGGTCCCTTCTGACTCTGACATCCTATGTTCTAAGGTCCCTTCTAACTCTGACATTCTGTGTTCTAAGGCCTTTCCCAGTTTCGACATTCTATGTTTTAAGGTCCCTTCTGACTCTGATATCCTATGTTCTAAGGTCCCTTCTGACTCTGATATCCTATGTTCTCAGATCCCTTCTAACTCTGACATTCTGTGTTCTAAGGCCCCTCTTCCCAGCTCTGACATCCTATGTTCTAAGGTCCCTCCCAACTCTGATGTCCTATGTTCTAAGGTCCCTTCTGACTCTGACATTCTGTGTTCTAAGGCCTTTCCCAATTCTGACATCCTATGTTCTCAGATCCCTTCTTGCTCTGATGTTCTATGTTCTAAGGTCCCTTCTGACTCTGATATCCTATGTTCTAAGGTCCCTTCTGACTCTGACATTCTGTGTTCTAAGGCCCCTCTTCCCAGCTCTGACATCCTATGATGTTCTCAGATCCCTTCTTGCTCTGGTGTTCTATGTTCTCACAACGTCCAAGCTCTGACAGTTTATGATTCTAATATAAAGAGTGCTGGCCAGGTCTCCTGACCTCTGACAGTTTCCTTTCACTGCAGGACAATGGGTTATTTTCCCCCTGGGATTTGAACCCAGATCTTCCAACACTGACCATTTGAGAGTTCAGGAGAGAGGAAGATTATGGAGTGGGGTGGTCAGGAAAAGCTCAAAGGATCCTGGGTAGAGAACAGGAAGTGACCGTAATGCCATCTCTTCCAACCCTTTCATTTTACTGCTGAGGAAACAGGCCCAGAGAGCCTTGCCCAGAGGTCACATAGCTAGTAAGTGTTAAAGGTGGGATTTGAACCCAGGCCCTTGTGGGGTTCCTGACGATGGATGAGGTTAGGAGGGAATGGAAGGGCATTCCAGGTGGAACTTACAGCACCTTCAGGGAAGGCTCAGTTGAAGGCCTGGCAGAGCAGCCCTGCCTCTGCTTCCTACTCAGCAGCTTCCCCCCCCCACACCTTTTTGTGTCTTACAGCTCAGTCCCCCTGCCTCGGCCCCGGCAATGAATGGGCCGGCCCTTCAGCCTTCACCCTCCTCGAACCCCCGGGGCTGGAGTGAATTCTGCGAACTTCATGCTGTGGCCACGGCCAAGGAGTTGGCCAAGCAATATTGGCTGTTTGCCAGCGAGCACCCCCATCATGACCTACTGGGGGCTGACCACTTCTCCCTGCAGTTCACGGACCTCTTCCAGCAGTATTTTCGACACGAGGTGAGAGAGGGCTGGGCCGTGCACCAGCTGCGGCTACGGCCCATCACCTCCCGAGTGCGGGACTATCGGGAGACTGGCAGGAGGCACACAGACGGCTCGGCGACACCCCCCAAAGCGGAGGCGCCTTGCGACGCCAGCGAGCGGGCCCCGGAGGTCACCTCCCAGACCCTACCCAAATCCCGGAGTTCAGAGGAGCTCACAGGAGGGGCCTCACCTCTGGCCTCTCCCCGCTCCATCGCGCATTGCTCTTTCCACCACCTTCGAAGGAGCCTTCGCCATATCTTTCGACGCCGTCCCTCAGAAACTCTGGTTGCTGCGGAAGGAGCAGGTGAGGGGGAGGCAGGCGACCCCCCTTCTAAACAGGGCCTGGCCAAGAAAATCCTGCCCTGGAGCCTGGCCAGGGAGCCGGCTCCTGAGGCGAGAAAGGAGGGTGTCCTCAAATACGGCCTAGTGGACGAAGCCACCATGGACAGCGGGGCCCTTCGGCAGCGGGGTCGGCTGGTGTTGAGGAAGGTGGTGAGCGGGGAAGGCGGTGAAGACTACGTCCTGGAGCTCTTTGATCCCCCCAAGGTAAGCGCTGCCCCCTTTCTTCCTTCAGATCGATACTTGGTCCTTCTTAAGGGAAGCATATTTTCAGCACGGTGGAGCCTGTTGTTCGGAGATCAGCATGAGCTAAAAGGAATAGTTCTTCTTTGTGTTGTTTAGGTTTCCCATACCCTGAATTTTCTTCTCTGGTCAAGGAACTAACCTTGCTTCCTGGCCATGCCTTCACCACGGTCTCAGTAGTTACTGAGGCAATGGTCTCATGGTCAAAGGTGCAGCTAGGGAAGGATTCTGTGAATGCACAGGGTGACTCTGGGGTCCCAGGAGGTACTTGGGGTTGTGGGGAAGGAAAGAGGAGGACTCAGAACAGGCTTGGCCTCGACTGGCTTTGCAAGGAGGCGTGGCCCTCTGGGATCTGGTGCTAGGGTCTCTGGAAAGTCTTCTCAAGGGTCTGTGTGTTTCTGGAATTGCTTATGCTATCTCTGCTGTGGTGTGGCATCAGTGAGGAGTGGTGGATGGGAGCTTTAGGTCAAGAACCTTGCCTTTGGAATCAAGCAATCTCTGTCTCCCTCTTTCCTTTCTCTTTTTTCTCCCTCCCTCCCTGTCTTTTTCTTTTTCTCTGTCACTCCTCCTTTCTCTCTGTCTGTCTGTCTGTCTCTGTCTTCTCCTCCTCTCTTCCTCTCTCTGTCTCTCTGATCTCTCTGTCTGTCTCCTCCCTTCCCTGTCTCTTTCTCCCTCTGCTCACTCTCACTGTCTCTTGTCTCTCTCTTTTTCCCTGTCTCTCCCTCCTTTCTCTCTGTCTCTCTGTCTCTCTCTCTCTCTGTCTCTCTCTCTCTCTCTCTCTCTCTCTCTCTCTCTCTCTCTCTTTCTCTCTCTCTCTCTCTCTCACCCTAGGTTCAATTATTTGTGTCCTTACCTGAGAAGTAAGTCAAGATTCAGTCTGCCCTTGGATAGGGTCAATGCAATGGCCAAGGTGACTGAAGAATTCATTATTGGTAGTGTTCTTATACCTCTCAAGGATGACATTGAAAGGGATATGTTTTTGTTAGATGGAAGCTGCTTGAATGTACGAGAAAAGGTAGACTGTCACAAAGTTATTATGACGATCTAATAAAATCACATGTGCAAAGTGTTATAGAAATGCAAGCTGTTACTGTTGCATAAATGCTAGCTTTTATTATTTGCTGGGATTCAAACCCAGGTCCTCGGACCCAACATCTAATAGCTGGGCTGCTGATCCAGATCCCCTGGTGGGGGAGGGTAGCAGGAGGTGGTCTCTGCCATAGCCCCTCTGACATTCAGTGTGCTCTTCCGTGGAAAGTGAACAGAACAGAATAGCTGTCTGTGTGTCGTTGACGGGCTGGCTCATGAATTGGTATTAATCTTGTTATGCTTGGGCCCCAAGGGCTGATCTGGGAAGCTCCAGCTAGATTTCTATTCAGTCCAAGGAAAACTTCCTAACTGTGAGAGAGCTGTGGCAGGCACGGCCTGCCTGGGGAGGGAGCAGCATTCTGCACTCCAGAGGTCTTCAAGCAGAGGCTGTAGACTAGAGATTGTAGAAAGGATTCCCGATCAGGTTTGGTGGGCCCAGCTTGTCACTGAAGTCCTCAGGCCATGGGGAGGACAGGGAATGGAATAAGCATTTGTTAAGTGTGCTGGGTACTTTACAAATATTATCTCATCTGATCCTCACAGCAACCCTGGGAAGGTAGGTGCTATTATGATCCTCATTTTACAGTTGAGGAAACTGAGGCAGATAGAGGTTGTGACTTGTCACACAGCTAGTAAGTGTCTGGGGCTGGATTTGAACTCAGGTCTTCCTGACACTAGGGCTGGTGCTGTATCCATTGGTGCCACTTAGCAACATCTCCCAAATTGATCCCCTTCTCTCCTCATACTGCCCCCACTCTAGTGTGGGCCCTCATCACCTCACTCAGTTGTGCAGCTCTGGGAAGGATAGATTGGAGCTGGGAGAGGCTGGAGGCAGAACAATGAAGCTACTGCTAGGGTCCAGACAAGAGATGATGAGCGCCTGAGATAGGGTCGTGGTTGTGTGAGTAAAGAGAAGGTTTTGGGGGGCAGCTGGGTGGCACAGTGGGTAGAGCACCGGCCCTGGAGTCAGGAGGACCTGAGTTAAATCCAATCTCAGACCAGACACTTGACACTTACCAGCTGTGTGACCCTGGGCAAGTCACTTAACCCCAACTGCCTTGGCAAAAGGAGAGAGACAGAGAGAGAGAAAGGGAGGCAGAGAGAAAGAGAGAGAAGAGAGACAGAGAGAGAGAGACCTAGAAGGTGTTTTGGCAAGGGCTTGTGTTTGTGGCTGAGTAGGCAACAAGCATTTATTAAGTGCTTGCTCTATACCAGGCATTGTGCTGGGGATACAAATACAAAGCAAAAATAAAGAAAGTTCTTGCCTTCAGGGAGCTTACATTCTAGTGGGAGAAAACAGCATGTACAAAAAAGTTAAAAGGGGATGATGGCAGGGAGGAGATGGCAGGCCACACTGTGGTCTGGCTTCTAAGTCTGGAAAGTCAGAAGCAGAGAGAGAAGGGGAATGAAGGTTGGCCATCCTGGACCCCTCTCCAAAATGGAGGCACCAACGGAGAAGGGGAATATTCCTCAGTGAGAAGGCTGCAGGGGCTGATGGATGTTCCTAGGTGAGAGGTTACTGAGACATCATAGTGGCAAAAAGTAGAATACATTCAAGTAAGGAGTCAAAGATAGCAATGGTAATGGGATGGTGGGGGTGTCTTCAGCAATGATAGGGAAATATAGGATAGGGGAGGGCTTGCAGGGGAGAGATGATGAGTTCTGTTTTGTACATGTTGAATTTGAGATGCCCATTGGATATCCAATTAGAGATATTCAAAAGGCAGTTGGTGACGTGGGTAGTGATGCTCAAGAAAGTGACAAGAATTGGATACAGAGATTCGGAAATGCGTCTGCATGGAGATGATAATTGGACCCGTGGCAACTGATGAGATCACCAAGAGAAATAGTACCCTCTTCTTTTAAGAAGAGGGTCTAGGACAGAACCTTGAGTAGTAGCCATAACCTGTGTGAAGATTGAGTAAAGGACACTGGACAAGTGGTCAGGCTGGTAGGGGAAGAACCAGGAGTGGAGAGCAGTGTCATGAAAACCTAGAGAAGAGAGAGAATCCAAGGGGAAAGGGCAGTCAGCAGTATCAAAGGCTGAAGAGAGGTCAAGAAGGAGAAAAGGCTATTCAGACTTTGGGCAGGTCTCTTCACCTCTGTTTGCCTCAGTTTCCTTATCTGTAAAACTGGGATTGATAATAATAGAACCTACTCTTCCAGGGTTGTTGTGAGGATCAAATGAGATCATATTTGTAGAGTGCTTAGCACAGTGCCTGGCATGTAGTAAGTGCTATATAAATGCTAGCTGCTACTACTTTTCATTGGACTTGGCCATTAAGAGATGATTAGTAATTTTGGAGAGAGTCATTCCATTGAATAATGAGTTCAGAAGCCATACTGTAAAGTGACAGAAAAGAGTGAAACAGGAACAGCGCATTAGAGGAGCAGAAGTAGAATGTAATGAATTAGAGATGACTTTTTCTAGCTGAAAAGAGGATGGGAGTCCTGGGCCAATAGGGGAAGGAAGGATCAAGCAATGGTTTTGTCAACATGGAAGAAATATAGTCATGTTTGTCAACAGCAGGGAAGGAGCCAAGAGAGAGGGAGAAATTTAATATTAGAGAGAGACTTGGAGAAATTTGTTAGAGAACATGAGTGGGGATGGAATCATATATGGAGAGGTTGGTTTTAGCAAGGAGAAGAACCACTTCATCAGAGATTGGAGTGAAGGGGAACCTAGCAGGGGATGACAATGTCAGAAAGAGGTAAGATGAAGAGAAGATAACACTCTCTTGGTGAATGCCCTCGATATTTTCAGGGCAGTAATAAGTCAAGATCCTTAGCTAAGGGGGTAGAGAGATAAGAAGGCTTGGACCAAGCTCTAAGTGATGAGTAGGATAGAGAATCAATGAGGATCGCCTTGCTGCAGTGAGGGCCCAGTGCAGAGCAGATAGCATCCATTTGTATGTAGTGGCCCCACCTTCTGACAGTTCTGTTTAGCAGCATGTGAATGGGAGAGAGGCAAATGGTGGGAGTAAACAAGAGCTGGAGTTTGGCAAAGTGTAGTCGATGCAAGATAGTATGGTTGACCAAAGGGGTTGAGGTTGGGAAGAGAGTGTGTGGACAGTGTGATGATGATGATGGGCTAGGAAAGATATGAAAGTGAGGGAACAGAGGTCACAGTGAGGATGAAGAACATGGTTAGAGGTTGCAAGGCAGCCCGAGAGAGAGAGAGAGAAAGAAAGAGAGAGAGAGAGAGAGAGAGAGAGAGAGAGAGAGAGAGAGAGAGAGAGAGAGAGAGTGATAAAAGATTATGATCAGCTCAAGGAATTTCAGAGTTCATTAACTTGAAAGGGGAACATTGTGGGTTATGATCAAGGTCAAAAAGAGTCCTAATTCCAGTGTGTAGCAAGGTGGAATGAAGGCACAGGTGGTAGGAACTGAGTAGCATTAAGGGGGATCGGGAAAGGCTTCTTGAACAGGGTGGGATTTTGAAGAAAGCCAGGGGAGCCAGAAGGTGGAGATGAAGAGTAACCCCAGGGTTGGGAAAACACCGGTCATAGAACGCTAGCCATTGAGGAATGAGTCCACGCAGAGTATCAGTGGATGAGGGAGGAGAGGTCCTTTGAAAGGAAGCAGGAGGATAGAGTGTTCAGGGTGGTCCTTTGAGGTCAGACCTAGGAGTAAGAGGTGAGGTTGTGTCCTCTGATACCCTGTAGACCCTACTATGGTCAGGAGCTGGAGGAGCTATGGTCATCTGTGGCCTCAAGGTCTGAATCACCTTAATGAAAGGCTTTGTTCTGTGAAGGTTGGATTCAGTCAACAGGCCACACTTGAGGACCTAGAAGGCCACAGGTTCCCCAGCTCTGGTCTAGGGAGTCTGGGAGCCTGCTTGGGAGGCTGTGGAAGAAGAGTTCATCGAGGGAGCA